TTTGTTGGTTGCCATGTAAAAAGCATAATGTCAATTTACATTAGTAATTTTTTTTTTTTACTGTTAAAATGTGTTTTTTTTTTTTTTTTTTTGCCTTTTTGATAACTTTCCTTCTCCAGAAAAATCCTCACCGATTAATTAGTTTTAAAGGATCAGTGAACTCTGTCAGATGGACCTACATTAACTGGCTTGTCCTCAGCCTTGTAATCCATTTTTTTATGATTATTCCTTTGATGCCAGTGTGAACCTCAGATGTGAAGTTGTTTGTACTTTTACCCCTGACGAAGTCTTTCTGCTCATGTCAGATTGACCTGGAGAACAACAGCCTCGTGCTCAGTTCCACATTATCTTATGAGTAGCTCCGTCCGGAGATAGATTATAAAAACAGTTAGCTTTGCTGAACTGTTATCTGCAGGTGCCATGTGCTTGATAGGAAACTGCTGCTGAAGACGTTCCACTATCTCACCTGACAGGATTTAATCACTGGGATTAGGCTGTTTGTGTGACCCAATTAAACAGTGAAGATCCAGCAGGAGGAACCGCAGTGACACTTTCACCCCTTGCTTTTCAAAACACAGGACTTTTTTTTTTTTTTTACTTTTATTTTAGTTTCCCTATACAAACATCAATGTTCCACTTTCTCTTTGTTTTCAATACCGACCCCTTAATTAACTCATCTGATGCTTTTCGTCTGTGTTTTCAGCACGGCCACAGCCACTTCACTCCCGCAGACATGCCTCAGGAAAACAGCGTCCAGAACGGAGACGCTTGGGTGAAAGGCGACTCTGTGGTTTTGACCAACGTCGCCACCATTTCCACGGATAAGAACAGTCTGGCCGTCGAGCCCCAACAGGTTCTGTCTGAAACGCGTGTCGTTTTTAATGAAAAGCAGTGATAAAACTGTTCTGTAGGTGAATAGGATTGATAAAATTTAGGGATTGAATGGGGAATATTATTACTTAGTCTGCAGTAAGATGCTCAAATAACATCCAATTTGTGGCTTGTTACTAGGGCAACAGCTAGCGATTATAGTAGAAATCAATGAATCTCTCAATTTGTTCTGACAATTAATCAGTTATTCTGATGATTAATCAGATTAAAAATGTGCCACATTCTGCAGATTTTTCATTTAACTGCTTCAGCCTTTTTATACAAATACATAAAAGATGCAAAAAAACAGTACATCTGCAGCTAAAACGATGCTTAAAACCATGTGAAAAGCTCAGTGCTTTCTGCTTGACTTTGCATCAATACAGTGTAGAGCTAATTTGTTTATCTTTTTTTTCCCCAACTAATAATTGGATGGCAGAAGGTGTCTAATCGGGATCATTTGAACTGATAATTTTTTTTGTGCAATTTTGGCTTACCACTCTGAGTATGTTGCTTTCTCAGCATTTCTTTCTCTCTTTTTTTTGAGTCTGCATAAAAAGCTGGCGATTAATCGATGACTAAATTACTTTACAATTATTCCAATAATCTGATTCATCGTTTCAGCCCAACTTGTTACCTTTAAAAAGACTGGTTGATGGTACTCCTTTGTTTCCTCATCTTGGCTGATGACTTAAGTGTTTCTGGAAGGCTTTCTAGAAGATTTAGCGGTGTGTTTATGGGACCAGCAAGTTCAAAAACAAGTGGGGTAGGGGCACCGCCACGCTACTCTCATCTCCAATGGCCAGGGACTTTAAGCAGTCTGATTGACAGGATGGAAAACTTTAGCCGGTTTGAAACGTACACTTTGAAAACTTGTTTTTCCTCGTATCAGGAACCGGCCCACGTCTAAGAGGGAGAAATTTATGAAGCTTTTACCACTGATAAGTGCAGGTCATAGGTTAATAAATTACAGTGATTTGTCTGTTAACACATTGCTTCTGGTTTGAAAGGTATGTGAAAGCTAAACAAACACGAGAGAAAATGATCAAGGAGGAAAAACTAAGCTGTGAGGAATCCGATCCCCCATCATGGTAAAGGGGACCCATTGTCTGACTTTTACACAAAGAGCCCTTGTTGGTCCATAGCCAGTATAAGCTTCTTTTTGTCTCTTCAGAGGGACTCCAAGCAAATGCCAAGAAATCTGTTTGTGTCTGTGCATTCTCCGACTTCCTGCTAGCAACACTTGAGCCATTATTTTTCTAATTAAAGAGATTTGCTGCAAATTGTTAAGTGCAGAATAATCAGTAAGGACAATTCAAGTAATCAATCTTCTTTTTTTCCCCCTTTCTAACAAGTTAGAGGAACAGCAGTAGGCAGTGATCCGGGACTCCTGGAAATCATTCTTTGACTTTCTTTATTTTCTGGTTGAAGCGGACTTTGGTGTTTGAGCTTTGTCATTGATTCCATATGTTTGCTTTGACATGACCAAACACAAGCGCTGACTGCATGCCTTTTAACCCACGTGTCGCCGCTTCAGGACGCCCAGGTGTCTGAAGTGATGTGTCACTGGCTGCGCGGGAAGCGCATCACCAGCATCAAGACGGTGGCCTGGATGATATCTCTGAGCGACGCTGTGCACAACTTCATCGACGGTCTGGTCATCGGCGCGTCGTTCACTGTATCCGTTCTGGCGGGGTTCAGCACATCCACCGCCATCGTTTGCGAGGAGTTTCCCCATGAGCTGGGTGAGTGACACTGATCCCCTGTGACACTGTGGTCAGTCATGTGGCAAAGTGTGCGATGCCTTTGGTTTCACCACTCGTTACTCTATTCCGCCAAAACAGAATCCAGTGCGCCCACATTCAAACCCAACTGGTGACTCTTTAGTCCGTCATCTGAAAACGCATGTCGTGGTTGCTCAGTCGACCTGATGGGCTCTGCAAGAGAGATCCATGCAACATGTCAATGAGAGAAAAATGATGTAGTCAAATAATCCTGTAGACTCTGTTCAACTGGAGACCAAAATTAAAGCATTTTACATTTTCAGCTGCTGCTGTTCGCTTTTCACACAACAAACAAACCAAACCCTCTAAAAACACGTTTACCCACCTCGTTCTGGTGATGCACCAAGAACCACTGAAGGAAACGACACAAAATCCTGTGAAGAAGACACTGAGTGCAACTTCTTTCTTTACAAAATCTAAACAACAATAGAGTGATGTCAAGTCTTTAACGTTTGTAAGATTTCTGTTTTGTCGTCAGTAAAATGCCATGAGCCATTTTTCCCGCTTTTTTGTCTTCATATTTACCCAGAGTGCCCTGCGCTGTAGTCCGCTTCCTGCTTTTGGAGCGGTCTCCGGTCCGCTTGGTGTTGACATATGCATTCAAACTGTGCCAGAGTTCATTTCAACCAAACAGGAACCTACTAGGTTTGTAGGCAGGCCAGAGTTTACTTTTCTGGTCCGCATCAGATTTCGATTGTGCATCTACAATCGAAGACGTAAATATCTCTTCAGACAACCCAGACTAACTAGGCATACGGACTAGAGTTTGATTAAAGCAGAATAAGCAGTTCTGGTGTGAATGCACCCTAAAACTGAACTTTCTGGACTGCACTCAGTGTGGTGGAAGTCCAAAACCGGACATCACCCACTGCATCCCATGTTCAAGGTGTAGTGTGGTGGCACCATCAGGCTGTAGGGGTGCTTTCTTCAGCAAGAATAGGAAAACTGGTCACAGGGGATCAGAAAACACGTATTGTTAAACCCCATTCACCTCTTACGACCCTTGTTGTAAGACAACAAGGTTCGTTGTCTTACTAGGACAACGACCCAGAACTACAATGGATCAATTTGGATAAAAGTAAGGTTTCTGTGCTAGAATTTCCCAGTTAAAATCCAGAACAGACTCAGAAAAACAGTGTTCACAGATGCTCTCCATCCAATTTGACTTTACTTGAGTTGGAAAAATGTTCTCTCCTTATATGTGTAAGGCTAGAACAGACATACCAAAGAGCTGTAGATCTAGGTGTGACAAAAAGTGACTCTGCGAAGTATTGACTCGGAAAGGAGGAATGCAGTCACCTGATTTCAGATTTGTGTCATTTGTCACTGCTTTGAGTAAATCGAGATCACTGGTGACAAAATGTCAGAGTTCACGGGTTGTGAATACATTTGCAGGGTAGAACACCATCCTCAGTTCTTTACAGTAGAATTTAGCCAATGGCTTGATAGAGTTCAGAAGAAGCAGAGTTGTTCCTTTAGCTTTTTTTTTTTTTTTTGATGCAGCTGGTTTTAAGTCAGTGTTTCCTTCTCTGCAGGCGACTTTGTTATCCTGCTGAATGCTGGAATGAGCGTCCCGCAGGCCGTTTTCTTCAACCTGCTGTCTGCAATGTCCTGTTATGTCGGCCTCGTGTTCGGCATCCTGCTTGGAAACAGCTTTGCCCCGAATCCTATCTTTGCCATCGCGGGAGGAATGTTCCTGTATATTGCACTAGCAGACATGGTGAGCTCTTCATCTGACCCTGTGATTTTAAACATGTTTGTTTTACGTTGTCTGGCACTTCAACCGACTGACTCCAACTTACGAGACTGAACTTGTCGTTTTGAGCGTCTTGTTTTAACTGATTGCTTTCTTTAGCATTACTCTGCCAGCTGTTTCAGCTGGGAAAGCTCTTGCAACACACCCTGCTCATCAGTTCAGCCCAGATGCACTTGCTGGGGTCACCAGCGCAGCATATGCAAGCTAGAGATATAGCTGTTTCACCTCTGGTGGTCAGTGGAGACCAGTGTCGTATTAAGTAGAAAATATAGTCAACATTAGACAGAAAAATAATTAACCAGAGACTTGGTATTCCGTAGAAATAAATATCTCTTGAAGTTAAATTAAGACATCAAACCTAGTGGTTAAAGCTTGTAACGTCGCCCCCAAGTGGCTAAATTCTAGACCTACAATGACCAATGACCTCCAAAGCAAAAATATGTTTAATTTTGACAGGAAAAGCTGAATTAAAAAACAAAAAGAAGGTAAAAAGATATCTCTGGAATTTTTTTTGCAAGATGAGACACATTTGGTTTGATTTCAAATTCATAAATATTAATCACTCACATGTTGTGGAAAAGAGGCCTAAGAAAGACATTTTGACTTGAGGTAAAAAGTTGAAGGAGCTGCTCTTTACATTGCACACCGTATCTTTTCAGGAAGCTCATTGATAAAGAAAAACATGTGATAAGGCTGAAACTTTGACTCCTATCAGGTTGTTCTACAGCTGAACCATTAGTTTACATACACCTAATAAAAAGACAACACTTTTTTTTTTCTCAGTCTGAGGTTAAATCAGACCAAACTTCTTTTGGTTTGGCTCAATCAGAATTACCAACATTATTTCTATTTGCTCAATGCCACGGTACTGAGAGAACATGTCAAATCTTTCTTTTTTTAAATGAATGTCTTCTAAATCAGAAATTTACACAATTTTTTTTCAGTATTTGTTGCCGTTGTCTTTGATCTTTACGACTTGGATTAAATCTTTTAGGTTTCCTTCCTCAAGCTTCTTGCAATAGTTTTCTGGAGATTCTCTGTCATTATTATGTCATTTAACAAATAGAAATAATCTTGGTGATTTTAACTGACCCAAAACAAGAGAAGTTTGAGTTGCCATAACTTCAGACAAGAAGGATGTATCATTTTTGTTTTCTTTTTTTCCCCTTTCTTTTTGGTTTCAGCCGGCTGTTTTGTCTAATATCATTCGGTTATAAATAAAATTCACGTTTCTCCTCCATTGCAGTTTCCAGAAATGGACAGTATAGCAAAGGAACAACAAAAAACTTCCAGCAAGATCGTCTTCTTTCTGATCCAGAACGCCGGGCTGCTCACCGGCTTCGCCATCATTCTGCTGATCACCATGTTTGCTGGGAACATAAACCTGGGATAGGAGAGGAAAACAAACATCCTCACACTGCGCCTTTTTTTTTTGTTTGTTTCTGCTCACACACAGGTTGGACTGAGTGTGAACGTAAAATGAATGTACAGACTAAACCAAGTGTTGAATGGTTCAAACGTGAACTTTTATACCTTTTTTTTTGGACTATCAAGCTAGTGAAATGTTTTCTCCAAAAAAAGGGAATTTTTATACAATCAACATGTAAAAAAAAAAAAAATCAAGAACATTTATCTTAAAGAAACAATAAATTATTTTTAGTCTTCAAATGTGAAATGGTTTCCATTCACCTAAAGTGTGTTGTGTACAATTTAATAAAAACTGATGATTTCTAGCTTTGCTACATACAGTTTTTTAAACTCTATTCTGAAACAACTTCTGCGCTACTGTTTGAGTTTTGTTTTCTTGCTCCCACAAACTTTCAAAGGCATATTTTGTTTATTCCTATGCACATTAATATATTGATTTTTTTGGGACTCTTGAAAATGATCAAAGTGTACATAAACATAGACTTTTCTATATAAAATAAATAGTTTGTTATCGTTGATGAATTGTTTATGCACACAGTATACGCTCTCTTCAGTACTAAAAATCATGGAACTGAAATTAAAAATATCTTCTAATCAAAGTAAGAACAGCCTGTGTGTACATTTCTAACCCTGGAATACCAAAATGTCTGGTTAAATTTGGTTGTAGTGTACAAAACTTAAAATGTATTTAGTTAATTTTGTCAAAAGGAAATGGAAGGAATGCGTGTAAAAAAATGTTTATTACTATTTTAAGGCGTAAACAGCAATGCCTGTTTACTTAAAGTTATAATTTAGGGATTATTTGTACTTTTCTTTATGTAGAATACATTTTTTGAAGGACGTGTATTTTTTTTTAAATTTACTATAATGATAAAACACGGAGCATTAGAAACACCAGATAGTCACACAGCTTGACCTAAACTCCGGAACAAAACTAGTTTGTCCCGCTTTTTGTGTTTTTACAACAAAACTGCCACTCACAGCATGGCTCCCCGTTGACGTAAGATCCGGAAAGTCCACTTCTCTGTCTATGGAAGCGCGCAGTTCACTTGGAGTAGACTTTGGCTGCAAGAGACCTTAAACACCATACTTGGGCATCACCATAAAAGCAAGTACCTTGTGTTATCTTCCTTTGTTGCTTTTATCGTTCCTCTAAATCTCACTATGACGTTGCAGCTGCTGGATTAGCAATGATGCTAGCTACTGTGAGCTAATGTAACTGTTGTCATTTCTTAAAGGAAAACCGTTTGCATAATCTGACTCGTAGTTTGATGAGGATTACGCGAATTTACGTGGAAAGTTAACATTACTTATTTTTGACTAGGTTGCTAAAAATCTGGTTAGAAACCATCATGACCTCTTCTCATGTGACCAGCATGAGGGATGTTGCTGGAGGTCATCATGGGTAAATGCAATTTCATTTTATATGTTTAAATAATTTTACTCTTATCATTAGTCACACAGTGACGTCATGGTCAATTCTGGCGCTATGAAAGCAACAAAGTAAATTTATTCAATTCTCTACATTTGAGATGATGATGACAGTATATCTAATTGCAAGGAAAAAGTTATGATTTCTGTTGAACTCTGTCACTGTAGCAACACACCATGTTAATGTTATGCTAAACAATGTACAAACCTAAAGCCTTGACCAATTTGAATCCCATGTTGCAAGAAATGAAATAGCTAAGCTATCACTCAGTTTAACCAGCAGTTTTTTTCCCCAATTGCTGGTTGGAAAAAATAAATATATATATTTTGATACCTTGAGAGACAGCAGCCAAATTCTCATCACAAATGTGTTTACAGTAAACATATTTTCAGGCAGGTAGTTTGTGGTCTGTCAGGTTATTGCTGCTCCTTCAAGTTGTTTAAGGTATGATGCATAGGTGATGCACAGCAACAAGTGGGGAGGGGCTGCTGGTTAAAAGAAAGCCATGGAGTTTTCCCCGTGCTACGAACTGAATGCTGCTTCTCTGCGTTTGGTTCTGGTTTTGGAGAGGCAGAGGAGACGAGAACCAGAAGACCTGAGTGGTCTGGAAGGTTGATACGACAACAACAGGTCTTGAATGTGTTGTGGTGCTAAGCCATTCAGTGATTTATAAGCTAAAGTATTTAAAAGTTTATTTTCTGAGCTACAGGGAGCCAATGGAAGGACTATAGAACTGAGCTGACGTGTGCTAGCTTTCTAGTTTTAGTGAAAACGCGAGCAGCAACTTTACCCCTTTAACCTTACAAAGGCCGACTTTGTAACTGTCTTTATGTGCCTCTGAAGGTTCAGGTCAGGGTCCATCACTACACCCAGATTTCGGGTCTGATCGCTGCTTTTTAGTTGTAATAACTGAAGTTGTGTGCTGACTCTAGATCGTTCCTCTTTAGGTCCAAAGATAATATCTTCAGTTTTGTTTCTGTTTAGCTAAAGGGAGTTATGGCACATCCATGCATTGATTTGTTCTGCGCCTCCACTCTGTGTTTGAATGGATTCATGGTCACCTGGTATCGTAATGCAGAGCCGTGTACAGGTGTAGTTATGGTAGCTAATTTTATTACTTGCTATTTTATGAGCTAGCAGGAGCATGTAGATATTAAATAGGAGGGGGCCCAGGATGAAACCGTGGGGTACTCCACATGCAATTACAATTCATATAATTTGCCACTTTAAAAAAATTTTTTTTGTCTTTCTGTTTTTCTGGACCAGCTGAGCCATGGCCAACTTTAAGATCCGAAAGTACCGGGATGAGGACTCTGAAACCGTAAAGGAGCTCTTCACCTCAGGGATGAATGAGCACCTGCCTTCGTCCTTCATGCACGTCCTGAAAGAGCCGCTGACTCAGATGTTGCTCATGTGCACCTTCTGCTCGCTCATGGCCACCTCCCAGTCCTTCCTGCTTCCCGTCCTGGCCGTCACCCTCCTCCTGGCCGGAGTCCGGCAGATGATCGTCTACATGTTCAACGGCTACATAGACGCGTCTTTGAAGAATGACCTCAGCGACATCAGCGAGACCTACCTGCGGAAGAATAATTCGTGTTTCTGGGTGGCAGAAAGCGATGGTCAGGTGGTTGGGACGGTGGCGTGTCTCCCCGCCGAGACAGCACCCGGGTTTTTGGAGCTGAAGCGCATGTCGGTGCGCCGCAGTCACCGGGGAAAGGGAATTGCTAAGGCTCTGTGTCGGACAGTAGCGGATTTCACTAGGGAGAGAGGTTTCTCTGCTGTCATACTTTACACATCTATGGTCGCTACCGATGCTCAAAAACTGTATGAACACATGGGTTATAAGAAGATGAGGCAGTTTCCTGTACCAGAGTTTTTTGCGAAAATCATCAACTTCACTCTGATTGAGTACAGACTCGATTTAGAGGAAGAGAAATAAAGCTAGTGACACCGACAAACTCTTTAAAACGTCTTTGTAGTTAGTTTATTTCATCTTTTTTTGTGACAAGTTCAGCTCCCGCTGTTACTGTCTAAACAACGTCCATTATGCAGCATGTTTTCTCCTACCCTTTTTGAGTTGTTTATCTACGCATTTAAAAATTTCTGTAAACAATAATCACAGTAAGGAAGCCATATTTCTCTTTTTCTGATAATCTGCTGTTGTGCTGCCATATATGGACGTGGTGGCTTCTGGTTGTTGATGTGTGTGCAGGTGCATGGGGAGGATCTGGGCCATGTGTGGGGTGAGCAGTTTTTCATTGAAAATAATGTATAAATATTCTGCATATTTCAGCTCCAATAAACATAATGGTAATCGCTTGTTACCAAGTTCTGCAAGAACCTGCAAATAAACTGGTTTAAATCAAATAAGGAAAACCACAGGGCCTCTGGCATTCATTAACGAGCCAATCTTTGGTGTTTGGTGCGGTTTAAGGTAGTTTAATGTAAAAGTGTCATTTACAGATGTACAATTTATTATATTTAGAACCCGTTTGTTTTCAGAAGTCACCGGCGCACTTTCTGGGTCGAAATGTGTGAAGTTCACCAAGGTGAAACAACTGGAAAGCTGCTTGACCCATCTGAACATCGAATATTCCGAGTTATCAAATAATAACTTTGATAACTGCATCAACGATCATGAGCATACAAGGAAGTTCCACGTGCTGCGTTCAAAGCGCCTCGGGCATGCAGCAGTGTTTACAGACAGCAGGGCGAAAACACTTTCTGAATTATTGTGTTTTTGTTGTAACGCCATGAAACTTTCAAAATCCTCCAGGCAACAATCATATAGACAGCAGAATAACAGTCTATATAAAAAGAATAAATGAAAAGCAACTTAAAACACCTTTCCTGTATTCGTTTTTCTTAGCACCGTTGAATGAACCATTATTGAACTGAAGTCGGATTGGAAGAAGAGGAAGCAGGTATGCAGCGGAAGCCTTGAGAAGGTTTTAACAGCAGGAAGAAACGGTCTCTGTTTTCATCTCGTATATTAATATAAGGTAAGGAGTTTGTGTTTATTTGTTTGTTCTTTTTCCGCTGCAGAATCCCATAGAGCCTTAGTGTCAAATCCTCCTTAGCTCTGTGAGGCTAGGAAGAATGCTAGCAGCTCTTAGCTAGTTTGTTATCAGTCGTTAACGGCGCTCAGATTTATCACCGTTTTAATAACGGGCTCAGTGCTGACTTGTTTAGCTGCACATTAAATGGCCTGCCAGGATTTTTACCAGCTAGCTACTGTCACTGTTATGAAGCATTCCAGTCAGAAGCCCTTCAGTCGTGTAGTTTATTTGAGGTCAGTGTGGTTAAAGGTTAAACTGGTTTATAACCCAGTTGTATGTTTTGTCAACTGGATAATTGATTTAGCAAATAAATAGAGTATCATAGTCTTAAATCTATTAATATTTTGCCACCCCGCAGCCACAAACTTTAATCTATTTTGTGGGGATTTTATGTAACAGACAAGGTATAGTTGTGACGTAGAAGGAAAAGGATACGTGTACAAATCTTTTATGCAAAGTGACACAAATAAAATAATGTTTATGAAGTAATATTTTAATAGGTTACAAACTGTGACCTTTGAACATTTTTACATCATCTGTAAAAATTTTATATCCCATTGAAGATGAACCTAAAAAATAAAATTATCATTTTAAAATCCTAACCAGTCAGGATGCCATACAACTGTTAATAACAAAGTGTATGACGATCTATGTTGTTGATTAAATTAAATCTTATGGTAATGACGTGTCTGACAGATACAGCCGGTGTTCTATCACATAGCCA